GTAGGGCTCAATGCATGCTTGGGATGTTTCTCATGGTGCTGAGGCCTGTGGCCTTCAGGTGGGTGTGGACTCAGGCTGCTGCTGAAGCATCCACATAAATATGATGATGGGGTTTTATAAAAGCCTACACAATTGCCTTATCAAAAATTTCATTTAGGGATAACAATAAGCATTATTTTTCTTGGAAAATAAGGAGTTACAATGGTTAAAACAAAAATGAAGGATACATTTTTACTGTGCTCTCAGAAATGCTTAACAGTGATCCAGTAGTGGTTGGTGTGGTGCACAGGTGTGCACATATGTCCTGAGCTTGCGCCAAATGCTGGAGCAGATGACCTGGTGCTTGAGAGAGCCTTGGGAGTGAGAAGGACCCAGAGGTTAAACTCCTGCAGTGGGAATGCGACAGAGGCAGGGGCAGGAATTGAAATTTGTGAGCACTGACTCCTTCATTCTCACCACTGTTTTTCCTGCCTCTTATTTCATGAAAAAGAGGTAGTCAATAAAAATGTGTGAACATCTTACCAAATACAATTGCATTTTCTTATTGATCTTTTTTCTCTCAAAGGTGATTTATCTCAGTACCTGGTTGATCTGCCATTGGAATGGCAGCCACTATTTTCAGATGGCTCACTCATGCTGCCTTCCTAGATGATTCTGAGAGCTCTGAGAGTCTGAGAATAGCCATAGATCACTTATTGAAAAAGTATACTTATAGTCAATATCACCGATACTGAGATTAGTAATGATCCAACAACACTTATAATTAATATAATCATACATTTGTTAATATAATTATTCATTAAAGTGTAAGCTGTATTACATATTCATGTTGATAGTATATTTAATATTAATATATAAAATTCATGATATATATGTTGATGTATAATAATCATTTAATGCACAGAATACATAAGTGTCATGTTATACTAGTATAGAAATAAACTATTTTTTAAATATTTATTTATTTGAAAGACAGAGTTACAGAGAGGCAGAAACAGAGAAAAAAAAAGAAATCTTCCATCTGCTAGTTCATTCCTAGATGGCTACAAGGCTGGAGCTGTGCCAATCTGAGGTGCTTCTTTTGGGTCTTCCATACGATTGTAGGGGCCCAAGAATGTGGGCCATCTTCTATTGCTTTCCCAGGCCATAGCAGAGAGCTGGATTGGAAGTGGAGCAGCTGGGACTTGAACCAGCATGCATATGGGATCCTGGCACTGCAGGCAGCCACTTTATGACACAGTGCTAGCCCCAAGAACATATAACTACTAACATACTGTTGGGGAAGAGTCAAGATGGTGCACTAGGGAAGGAGTTTACTGCTCCATTCTATGGGAAGACAGTTAAAAAAAAGTGGAGAGAGTGCAGTCTCAGGGAAAAGTTACGGATAAAATGGTAGAGGAAACTCCCTGCAAATTAGAGGGACACAGTGGACCCTTCTGAAGGGTGTGGATGTTGACAGCTCAGGACCCCAGCAGCTGAGAGCCTCAGCACCAGCTTTGGAGTGATGTGAGACCAGATTGCAGCAACCCAAGCCACTGGCAATAAAACTGGGGGAAAAGCCTGTCAGGAGCTCGATTTGGAGCCATGTGGGGGGCAGTGTACCTGCCAACACAGAGGGGAAAACAGGGTGCATGTTTCTCTGTCTCAACCACCTGGCACTGGTGTTCTGTAACTAGCCCAGAGAGGTGCTGCCATGTGTGAAACAGCTGTGGCAGCTTGTGTCCACGCACCCAGAAAACAGCTGAGAGGAGACAGCTGAGTGTGGTTGGAAGCCCTGATGGGGCTGGGAGCTTGTGACTGGGAGCCTTGTGTGCTGGAACTGTGAAAACACTGATGCTGCATGGGAGGCTGCAGGGTGTGGCTGGGTCTTTGGGAAGTCACTGTGGGTGGCTTCACGTGCTCAGGCTCCCTGATTCCCTGGTGAGGGTCATTGCTCTGGGATCTGTGCTCAGAACAAGGATCATTTGGTGGTTCTTTTGGCAGCATGGATGAATACTGAACACACTGGGGCTAGTTCCCAGGCATTGTTCTCCTTTGAGGAGAGGAGGTAACATGAAAATATACCAACAGAGCTAAACAAACCTCCCATCTGAAAAAAAAAGGTAATTACCACGCTCAACTTGGGTGTCAGCTTTGACATTCCCTTCATCCTGGAGCACTGAACAGAGCTCCCTGACCACTTCCAGCACATGCCTCTGGGTATGCAGTGAAAGAACGGACATCCAATAAGCCATGGAGGCATAGTTCAAAGATAAAAGACATCTTTTGAAAAATGAAAAATGTCTATTGAGGTCCTTGGCCCATCTCTTAAGTGGGTTGTTTGTTTTGATGCTGTGGAGTTTCTTGATTTCCTTGTAGATTCTGGTTATCAACCCTTTATCTGTTGCATAGTTTGCAAATATTTTTTCCCATTCTGTCGGTTGCCTCTTCACTTTCCTGACTTTTTCTTTTGCAGTACAGAAACTTCAATGTGATGCAATCCCAAATGTTAATTTTGGCTTTGACTGCCTGTGCCTCCCGGGTCTTTTCCAAGAAGTCTTTGCCGGTACCTATATTTTGCAGGGTTTCTCCAATGTTCTCTAATAATTTGATGGTGTTGGGTCGTAGGTTTAAGTCTTTAATCCATGTTGAGTGGATTTTTGTGTAAGGTGAAAGGTAGGGTCTTGCTTCATGATTCTGCACGTGGAAATCCAGTTTTCCCAGCACCATTTATTGAATAGACTGTCCTTGCTCCAGGAATTGGTTTTAGATCCTTGATCAAATATAAGTTGTCTGTAGATGTTTGGGTTGATTTCTGGTGTTTCAATTCTGTTCCATTGGTCTATCCATCTGTTTCTGTACCAGTACCATGCTGTTTTGATTACAACTGCCCTGTAGTATGTCCTGAAATCTGGTATTGTGATGCCTCTGGATTTGTTTTTGTTGTACAAGATTGCTTTAGCTATTCGAGGTCTCCTGTGTCTCCATATGAATTTCAGCACCATTTTTTCCAGATCTGAGAAGAATGTATTTGATATTTTGATTGGTATTGCATTGAATCTATAAATTGCTTTTGGGAGAATGGACATTTTGATGATATTGATTCTTCCAATCCATGAGCATAGAAGATTTTTCCATTTTTTGGTATCCTCTTCTATTTCTTCCTTTAAGTTTTTGTAATTTTCATCGTAGAGATCTTTAATGTCCTTGGTTAAGTTGTGAATGGGATTGATTTTAGAAGTTCTTCCTCAGCCGTGGCATTGCCTGTGTCTACAAAGGCTGTTGAATTTTGAGCATTGATTTTATATCCTGCTACTTTGCCAAACTCTTCTGAGTTCCAATAGTCTCTTAGTAGAGGAAATCCAAAAGGCCAACAGACACATGAAAAAATGTTCAAGATCGTTAGCAATCAGGGAAATGCAAATCAAAACCATAATGAGGTTTCACCTCACCCCGCATAGAATGGCTCACATTCAGTAATCTACCAACACCAGATGCTGGAGAGGATGTGGGGAGAAAGGGACACTAACCCACTGTTGGTGTGAATGCAAACTGGTTAAGCTACTATGGAAGTCAATCTGGAGATTCCTCAGAAACCTGAATATAAACCTAACATACAACCCAGCCATCCCACTCCTTGGAATTTACCCAAAGGAAATTAAATTGGCAAAAAACAAGCTGTCTGCACCTTAATGTTTATTGCAGCTCAATTCACAATAGCTAAGACCTGGAACCAACCGAAATGCCCATCAACAGTAGACTGGATAAAGAAATTATGGCACATGTACTCTTTAGAGTACTATACAGCAGCCAAAAACAATGAAACCCAGGCATTTGCAACAAGATGGAGGAATCTGGAAAACATTATGCTGAGCGAATTAAGCTAGTCCCAAAGGGACAAATATCATATGTTCTCCCTGATTGGCGACAACTAACTGAGCACCAAAGGGGAAAATTGTTGAAGTGAAATGGACACTATGAGAAACAGTGACTTGATCAGCCATTGTCCTGACTGTTGATGTACAATGTAATACTTTATGCCTTTTAGTATTTCTTTTTTCCTACTTAATACTATTGGTTGAACTCTGTAATTAACACACAATTATTCTTAGGTGTTTAAATTTAACTGAAAAGTGATCTCTGTTAAGTATAAGGGTGGGAATAAGAGAGGGAGGAGATGTACAATTTGGGACATGCTCAATTGAACTTGCCCCAAATGGTGGAGTTAGAAATGTGCCAGGGGTTTCCTATACAATCCCATCAAGGTGGCATGTACCAATGCCATCTCACTAGTCCAAGTCATCAATTTCAGTTCACAATTGATCTAATGATAGGACTAAGAGTCAAAGGGATCACACAAACAAGACTAGTGCCTGCTAATACTAACTGATAGAATCAAAAAGGGAGAGAACGATCCAACATGGGAAGTGGGATACACAGCAGACTTATAGAATGGCAGATGTCCTAAATAGCACTCTGGCCTCAGAATCAGCCCTTAAGGCATTCGGATATGGCTGAAGAGCCCATGAGAGTATTTTAGGCATGGAAAGCCAAGACACTCTGAAAAAAAAAAAAAAGAAGACCTAAATTAATGATCTCTGCGAGTGAGATTCCAGTGGAAAGAATGGGCCATCAAAGAAGGAGATACCTTTCTCTGAAGGGAGGAGAGAACTTCCACTTTGACTATTATCCTGTTGGAATAAGATAGAAGTCTGCAAACTCAAAAGGCTTCCATAGCCTTGGCAACTCATGACTAGAGCCTAGGGAGATTACTGATGCCACAAACTAGTGTCAATTTGTTAAGTCAACAACAGGAGTCACTATGTACTTACTTCTCATGTGGGATCTGTCCTTAATGTGTTGTCCAATGTGAATTAATGCTATAACTAGTACTGAAACAGTATTTTACACTTTGTGTTTCTGTGTGGGTGCAAACTGATGAAATCTTTACTTAGTATACACTAAATCGATCTTCTGTGTATAAAGATAATTGAAAATGAAAAATGATGTGAATGGGATGGGAGAGGGAGCAGGAGATGGGAGGGGTGCATGTGGGATGGACGTTATGGGGGGGAAGCCATTGTAATCCATAAGCTGTGCTTTGGAAATTTATATTTACTAAATAGAAGTTAAAAAAAAGATGAAAGACATTGCAGGGGCAAAAAAAAAAAAAAACCAACAAGTATCACCACAGATGCCTAATAATAAATGCAGCAGTTCAAGAAACAAGACAACATGACACCACGAAAAGAACACAACACTTCAATCCTAGAATGTGAAGGTGAAGAGATTGATGAAATGCTAGAAACAGAATTAAAAAAATTGATCATAGGCTTACTTATAAGTAATCAGAAGCAAATGCATGAACTAAAGAATTCCATACATGATGTGAATGAAAATTTTCCCATGAAAGTTAGATTTTTAAAGAGAAATCAAAACAAAATATGGGAAATGAAGAATTCAATAGAATAAATAAAATATATGATGGAAAGCCATAACAGATTTGGTTGAAGTGGTGAGGCTGAAGAAAGAATATCTGAGTTAGAAAACAAATCTCTGGAAATTTTACAGTCAGACCAAAAACAATGAGAAGAAATCAGAAAATGAAAAAACACTGTGGGAGATCTACAGGATACTATCAAATGACCCAACATAAGGGTTTTAGGAGTTCCCAAAGGCATGGAAAGATTGAATGGATTAGAAGGCCTTTTTAGTGAAATAATTATAGAAAACTTCTCTAATTTGGAGAAAGAAAGGGACATCAAGTACAGGGAGCACATAGAACTTCTAATAGAAATGACCAGAATAGATCTTCACCAGGACACATTATAGTCAAACTCTCCACTGTAAAACATAAAGAAAAGATTCTAAAATGTGAATGAGAGAAATGCCAGATTACTTATCAAGAGGATCTTCAATTAGAGTCACAGCTTGCTTCTCATCAGAAACCTTATAAGCTAGAAGAGAATGGTGAGATATATTCCAAGTCTTAAAAAAAAAAAACAACTTTCACCTAGAATACAGTGAAAAGCTCCCATTTATGAATGAAGGTGAGAGATCTTCCAAAACAAAAGAACTTGTCACCGCTTGTCCAGCCTTACAAAAGATGCTTAAGGATGTGCTACATATAGAAACACAGAAATATATTCATCTCTGTGAAAGAAACTGAAGGCAGAAAATCTCCCAGTAAAAGTACAAAGGAAATTCAAAGTAAACTATAAGAATATTTATGGGAAAATGGCAGGGGCAAGTAGGTACTTACCAATAGTAACCTTGAATGTAAATTGCCTCAACTCTCCATTTAAAAGAGAATAAACAAAATTGCCCAACTAATCAAAAAATGTGGGAGAAGGCAAAAATCCATAAATTTAGAGATAAAAAAGGAAATGTCACAACAGACACCACAGAAATAAAAAGAATCACCAGAAATTACTACAAAGATATGTATGCCAACAAATTGGGAAACTTTGAAAATGGATAGATTCCTGGACAGTTAAACCTGCCTTACCAATGCCAGCGCACTTGGTAAAGTGATAAGTATAAAATCACAACCGATCAAAAAGATAGGGTATGTGTTTATAAGATTTCACAAATAAGACCAGTGTAAGCAAATAATGAAGGATAGAATTAAAAGGGAGAGAATGATCCTGCGGGGGAAACAGGACACACAGCAGACTCATAGAATGACAGCATTCCTGCCTCAGAATCAACCCTTGGGATATTCAGATCTGGCTAAAAGGTCCATGAGAGTCTCACAGGCATGGAAAGCCATGACACGGTGGCAAAAACAATCTAAATGAAAGATCCTGGTGAACAAGACCCCAGCAGAAGGAACAGGCCATAAAGGAGAGAGGCGCCTTTCTCTGAAGGGAGGAAGGGACCTCCACTGTGATACGGCCTTGACTAAACAAGTTCAGAGTCAGTGAACTCAAGGGGCTTCCATAGCCTAGACAGCTCATAGCAAGAGTTTCGGGTGATTGCTGACGTCATAAATAAGAATGCCAATTGTTAAATCAACAACAGAAGTCACTGGGTACATGCTCCCCACGTAGGATCTCTGTCCTTAATGTGTTCTACTATGAAACTTAAAAACAACACTACTAGTCCAACAATACCCTATACCTTGTGCGGTTGTGTCAGTGCAGCCTGTTGAAATCCTTGCTTAGTATGTACTAAGTTGATCTTCAGTATATGAAGGTAATTGAAAATGAAACTCGATGAAGGGCAGCATGGGAGAGGGAGTGGGAGAGGGGAGGGCCACGGGAGGGAGGGAGGTTGGGGGGGCCACAACAATACAAAAGCTGCACTTTGTAAATTCATATTTATTAAATAAAAAAATAACTATATAACAAACAAAAAAAAAGAAAAAGAAAAAAAAAGATCTTAATACTTTACCCTGTTAGTATTTTTTATGTTCAACTTAAAACTATTGGTTGAACTCTGTAATTAATACACAGTTACTCTTAGGTGTTTAATTAATGCTATAACTAGTACTCAAATAGTATTTTACACTTTGTGTTTCTGTGTGGGTGCAAACTGTTGAAATCTTTACTTAATATATGCTAAATTGATCTTCTGTATATAAAGATAATTGAAAATTAATCTTGATGTGAATAGAAGGGGAGAGGGAGTGGGAGAGGGGAGTGTTGTGGGTGGGAGGGAAGTTATGGGGGGGAAAGCTATTGTAATCCATAAGCTGTACTTTGGAAATTTATGTTCATTAAATAAAATAAAATATAAATATAAAAAAATAAACCTGCCTAAGTTGTGCCATGAAGACGTAGAAAACCTAAACAGATCAATAATCAAAATGGAAATTAAAGCAGTAATAAAGACCCTTCCAGCAAAGAAAAACCCAGTACCGATGGCTTCACTGCTGAACATAGACTTAAAAGTCCTCAACAAAATTCTAGCCAATTGAATCCAACAACACATCAGAAAGATTATTCACTTGGACCAAGTGAGGTTTATCCCTGGTATTCAGGGATGGTTCAGCATTCAGAAATCAATCAATGTGATACATCACATTCACAAACTGAAGAACAAAAACATGATTATCTAAATAGATGTAGAGAAAGCATTTGTTAAAATACAACATGCTTTCATAATGAAAACTCTTGGCAAATTGGGTGTAGAAAGAACATTCCTTAAAACAGTTAAGGCAGTTTAAGACAACCCCTGGCCAGCATCCTATTGAATGGTGAAAAGTTGGAAGCATACCCACTGAGATCTGGAACCAGATAGGAGTACCCATTCTCACCATTGCTATTCGGTATAGTTTTAGCCAGAGCCTTTAGGCAAGAAAAGATAATCAAAGGGAAGCAAATTGGGAAAGAGGAAGTCAAACTATCCCTATTTGCAGATGATATGATTCTATGTATAGGGGTTCCAAAAGACTCTACCAAGAGACTATTGGAACTCATAAAAAAAGTTTGGTAAAGTAGCAGGATTTTTTACCAACACACAAAAATTAATAGTCTTTGTATGAACGGATTGCTAAGAAAAAACTTCTTTTTTATTTTTATTTTTTATTTTTGACAGACAGAGTGGACAGTGAGAGAGAGAGACAGAGAGAAAGGTCTTCCTTTGCCGTTGGTTCACCCTCCAATGGCTGCCGCGGCCAGTGCGCTGTGGCCGGCGCACTGCGCTGATCTGAAGCCAGGAGCCAGGTACTTATCCTGGTCTCCCATGGGGGTGCAGGGACCCACTTGGTCATCTCACTTCCACTGCACTCCTGGGCCACAGCGTAGAGATGGCTGCAGAGGGGCACCAGAACAGATCAGTGCTCCACTGGACTAGACCCAGTGTGCTGGCGCTGCAAGGCGGAGGATTAGCCTAGTGAGCCACGGCGCCGGCCAAGAAAAAGCTTCTAAGATCAATCCCATTTACAGTGGCTATGAAAAAAATCAAATACTTTGGAATAAATTTAACCCAGGATCTCAAAAATCTCTGATGAAAATTACAAAACATTAAAGAAAGAAATAGAAGACACAAAAAATGGGAAAATCTTCCATGTTCATGGATTAGAAGAATCAACATCATCAGAATGTTCATAATACCAAAAGCAATTTACAGATTCACTGTGATCCCAAACAAAATTCCAATGACATTCTTCTCAGATATATAAAAAAATGCTGTAATTTATATGGAAACACAGGAGTCCCCAAATAGCTAAAGCAATCTTGTTTAACAAAAATAAAGCCAGAGGCATCACAATACCAGATTTCAAGGCACACTACAGGGCAGTTGTAAGCAAGAACAGTCTGGTATTGGCACAAAAACAGATGGGTACAACAATGGAACAGAATAGAAATGCCAGAAATCAACCCACATATCTACAACCAACTTATCTTTGACAAAGGATCTAAAATCCATCCTTGGAGCAAGGACAGTTTCTTCAATAAATAGCGTTGGAAAAACAGGATCTCCATATACAGCATGAAGCAAAACCCATACCTTACACCTTACACAAAAATTCACTCAAACTAGATTAAAGACCTAAATCTATGACCCTATATCATGAAATTATTAGGGAACATGGGTAAACCCAACAAGACATTGGCATAGGCAAAACTTCTTGGAAAAGACCCTAGAGCAATCAAAGCTAAAATTGGCAAATGGTATTACAGCATGTTGAGAAGCTTCTGCAATGCACATGAACCACTCAGCAATGTGAATAGGCAACCAACAGAATAGGAGAAATTATTTGCAAAATGTAACTGATAAAGGATTAATAACCGGTATATATAAAGATCTCAAGAATCTCTACAACAAAGAAAAAAATACAGTTAAGAAATGGGCTAATGTCTACAGCCAACTTATACTTGATCAAGGATATAAAATCAATTCCTGGAGCAAGGACAGTCTATTCAAGAAATGGTGCTGGGAAAACTGGATTTCCACATGCAGAAGCATGAAGCAAGACCCGTACATTACACCTTACACAAAAATCCACTCAACATGGATAAAAGACCTAAATCTACGACCTGACACCATCAAATTATTAGAGAACATTGGAGAAACCCTGCAGGATATAGGCACTGGCGAAGACTTCTTAGTAAAAACCCCAGAGGCACAGGCAGTCAAACCCAAAATTAAAAACTGGGATTACATCAAATTGAGAAGTTTCTGTACTGCAAAAGAAACAGTAGGAAAGTGAAGAGGCAACCGACAGAATGGGAAAAAATATTTGCCAATTATACAACTGATAAAGGATTAATAAGCAGAATCTACAAAGAGATCAAGAAACTCCACAACAACAAAACAAACAACTCACTTAAGAGAGGGGTCAAGGACCTAAACAGACATTTTTCAAAAGAGGAAATCCAAATGGCCAACAGACACATGAAAAAATGTTCAGGATCACTAGCAATCAGGGAAACGCAAATCAAAACCACAATGAGGTTTCACCTCACCCCGGTTAGAATGGCTTACATACAGAAATATACCAACAACAGATGCTGGCGAGGATGTGGGGAAAAAGGGACATTAACCCACTGTTGGTGGGAATGCAAACTGGTAAAGCCACTATAGAAGTCAGTTTTGATATATATATATATATATATATATATATATATATATAGCCATGTTATATAACCCAGCCATCCCACTCCTTGGAATTTACCCAAAGGAAATTGGCAAACAAAAAAGCTGTATGTACCTTAATGTTTATTGCAGCTCAATTCACAGTAGCTAAGACCTGGAACCAACCTAAATGCCCATCAACAGAAGACTGGATAAAGAAATTATGGGATATTTATCTATAGAATACAGCAGTAAAAAACAATGAAATCCAGTCATTTGCAACAAAATGGAGGAATCTGGAAAACATCATGCTGAGAGAAATTAGCCAGTCCCAAAGGAACAAATATCATATGTCCTCCCTGATTGGTGTTAACTAACTGAGCACCTAAAAGGAAACCTGTTGAAGTGAAATGGACACCATGAGAAACAGTGACTTGATCAGCCGTTATCCCGACTGTAGAGGAACAACTTACTATTTTATTCCGTTTAGTATTTTTTAGTCTACTTAATACTGTTGTTTGAACTCTTTAATTAACATACAATTATTTTTATTCATTTAAATTTAACTGAAAAGTGATCCCTGCTAAATATAAGAGTGGGAATAAGAAAGGGAGCAGATGTACAGTTCGTCACATGCTCATTAGACTTACCCCAATGGTAGAGTTAGAAACATGCCAGGGGATTCCAATTCAGTCCCATCAATGTGGGATGTACCAATGCCATCTTACTTGTTAAAGTGAACAGTTGGCCGGTGCTGTGGCTCACTAGGCTAATCATCCACCTGTGGTGCCGACACCCCATGTTCTAGTCCTGGTTGGAATGCTAGTACTGTCCCGGTTATTCCTCTTCCAATCCAGCTCTCTGCTGTGGCCTGGGAGTACAGTGGAGGATGGCCCAAGTGCTTGGGCCCTGTACCTGCATGGGAGACCAGGAGGAAGCACCTGGCTCCTGGCTTCCGGTCGGTGCAGCACACCGGCCATAGCGGCCATTTGGTGGGTAAACCAACAGAAGGAAGACTTTTCTCTCTGTCTCTCTCTCTGTGTCTATCTCTCCCTGTCAAAAAAAAAAAAAAAAAAGTGATCAGTTTAAGTTCGTAGTTGGTCAAAAAGATAGGATTAAGTGTCAAAGGGATTACATAAATAAGACCAGTGTCTGCAAATAATAATTGATATAATTAAAAAGGAGAGAATGATCCTACATGGTAAGCGGGATACACAGCAGACTCATAGAAAGGCAAATGTAATAAACAGCACCCTGGCCTCAGAATCAGCCCTTAAGGCATTTGGATCTGGCTAAAAAGCCCATGAGAGTATTTCAGGCATGGTAAGCCATGACACTCTTGCAAAAAAAAAAAAAATGACTTAAATGAGGCCGGCGCTGCGACACACTTGGCTAACCTCTGCCTGTGGTGCTGGCACCCTGGGTTCTAGTCCCGGTGGGTCGCCAGATTCTGTCCTGGTTGCTCTTCTTCCAGTCCAGCTCTCTGCTGTGGCCCAGGAAGTCAGTGGAGGATGGCTCAAATGCTTGGACCCTGCACCTGCATGGAAGACCAGGAGGAAGCACCTGGCTTCTGGCTTCGGATCGGCGCAGCATGCCGGCTGCAGCGCGCCGGCCATAGCGGCCATTTGGGGGTGAACCAACGGAAAAAGGAAGACCCTTCTCTCTCTCTCTCT